CTGCTGAAAACCGAGGAAAGTATACAATTTATATCAAGCCTTTTTTTCCCCGGCACAATGCCCCTTTCTTACTTGTACAACTTCCAGATCCCATCCTTGTTCTGCACTTTCATGGCTGCAAAACCCTGGTCAAAAAAGTCCTTTGCTTGGTCTACTGCAATTTGGCTCTTCAAGCAACTCCTCCTGACAATCACAGTTTTTAAGTTCTAAGACTACCTTTTGTAGGTCTATCCTCCCTGGTTGCTTAGTCTCTATATTCTCAATAGAACTCTTTCTCTCTGGTTTGAAGCCCTTCTCAGCATCTTTTTCCCTTTGCTTCACAATTATATGCTTTAAATGCTTTTGGTACTTTAAAAGTTCTCACTCCTTACACGCAATATATATTTCTCTTCAGTATCCTTACCTTTGTCAGCTAGATTCTTTGGTTTTTAAGTATTAAAGTGTTCATTTTTGGGGATGCATTTACACATTTTAGCTGTCCTGCAAATTCATCTTAACTGATTAAATCCATTAGAATCCATTAGTCAGATGACTACATCACATGCTATAATGCCCTTGTAACATACTTTGGTTTTACACCAAAAGCAAGTTCACCATCAGTGCTAAAAAGCATCATTAGCTGATGTATTTTCAATCACATCCAAGAATAACTCATTATCTGCATTTTTGCCCTAAATCCATGCCTAAAAACCTGATGTCTCCTCCAGTGAAACACATAGGAATAGATATAAAAAAACCCAACAAACCCAAAACAACTAAAACCAAACAAACAAAACCCCCAGAACACAACTATTCTGAAATCCACTTCAAGGTAAGGGTGCAAAGAATGGATCCAAAACAGTCCTTATGGTGGGAAATTCATTTAGACAATCTTAGATAGATCTCTCTCCATTACATAGACCAGGTCTTCTCCTTAAGCTTTTTGTTAAGTAACAGATTCCCTCTAGATAATTGTCTCATCACAAAAAAACCCCACCAACAACAAAATCAAAACAACTTAGCACAGCGTAAGATGGATGAATACTCCAGAAGTGACCTTCCAGTGACTGCATAAGCTTCTCAGAAAAGTCTTTTTTCGTGAAATAACACCTCTAATACAATCTAATAAGCAAGGTTTGCTGGCTTTTAGCCACTACACACAACTGATGTTAACTGTTTGACTTAGAGCTGCAGTCGTGTGCAAGGTACTTGGTATAGGAAACTCTACAGAGAAAGGTCAGATTAAGCCACTCTAGGAATTGTGAGTGTCTGGTTTTAAACTATCCACATGGATTTATGAATACAGAAGTAAATTTCAATAAGTTCAGAGCAAATGCAACTATTGGATCATCTAATTCTAATTCACTGACATTATCACAAATCACTGTTTTATGCCTACAATGAACTAAATCATTTGTTCTCAGCTAAACCTTGCCTTCCAGTATATCACACCAGTCTTAAATTTTAAAAAAGCAGGAAGATGGAGAAATCCTTCTCTCATTTGTGTTACAAGCCCTCAAGACTTAATTATCATCAAAGTTCTAGTCTCAAAATGTCTGGATTGGTTCCAACTATGGTTTCTGCCATTTGTTTAGGGGAAGAAATTTTATTACCTAATATTGCTTTCTTGAGAGAGGTATTTCAATTATCAAGTTAACACTCCAAAATAGAGTTGCCTTTCTTTTAAAATTATAACAGAGTTACCCACCAAATCTTCCATCCAAATTTATGACCGGTCTCCAGTGTTTAATTTTTAAAATACCCTCTAAGAAAATTATATATAGGTATATAGGTATTAGGTCCTCCTTTATCCACCACAAAAAAACAACCCAGTTACATTATTTAAAAAAAATCTTCTATAAAAAACAATAGAATTCACTTTCTGCTGTCTCATCCATATGCAAACAAGAAGAAACTCTAAAAAGAAATTTAGTCTTCTCAGATAAAAATACCTCAAATGTCTTTCAACGGGAGACAGTTTTTGTAGCTCTAAAAAAACAACAGTTGAGAAGTCATGATAAATTAAATATATAAATAAAAATGTAATAAAGCGGTCTTACCTGCCCCCTCATAACGGACATTTGGTTTTCAAAAGTAGCCTTGTCAAATCCCTTATCAGTCTTTATAAAAGAAAACAAAGTTATTCTAGGAAATAACCAATTTATTTTTAGCTATATATTTAGCAGGTAAATTCATTAATTTCATAATATGCTTAGTCATATTTACCAACATTAAAATAATTTTTGGAAGCTCCAAATAGTCAGAGTATGACCCATGAAAAAGGTCTATTTACTGCAGTTAGTTTACATATGGGAAAATGAAGGAGGTTCCACATCAGAAAAGTAAAATACATCAGTTAAGCCTACCTACCAATATTATTGCTACTACTGTTGTCTCTCACCTTTATTCTGGCAAAACAGTACTTTCTCCTTCAGGTTTATTAAATACTTTAACCTCCATTGGGTTTAACAAAAATCCCAAAGTCACAGAGTACAACTCACTCAGATTTAAACACTGTAAATGCGTTTCAGGATCTAGTTTTGATGTTACCACTGCGTTTTAATTAAGAGCTTAACGTTCCTATTTCTTTCCATCCTGATCATTTGTACTACTTCAATTTGTATTACTTGAGCATTTAACAGTTGATGGAATGCTTCAAAAAAGGACACTTATTTACGTGTCAATATTGTAGCACAGTGTCAATACCTTCAAAGTAAGTTTGATTTACTTCAAACACTCAAGATTTCAGGATCAACTTCACATACTATATGTATGTAAAATCAAGTATATGAAAGGTATGCAGGCATTTTAAATTACATTAAATATATTATTTCCTCTGGTTGCTACAGCTTATCCTAAGTGTACATACATAGCACAGAGGTATGTTAATAGAGTTTTAACATAAACTTGTGAAATAAAAGTTAACTAATTTTAATTAATTATGAAACTTAGATATACAAAAGGTAATTAAGTTTTCAGATTAAGTGATGACTATAAATTAGTTACATTAGTGACACAGCTTCCTCTTAATTATATAAACCCTTTCTACCATGCCAGTGTTAAAAGCTAAAATAGCACAGTATCATGACAGAGAAGTCAAAGTCAGAAAAACAACTAACTGCTCCATTACAGGTATTAGCTATTTCAGTAATGATAAATTCACAGCAGCTCTCAATTCACCTTAAATAGCTCATAAAGATCTTCACAAAGATCCTGCACGAAGTTCATGTCAGAAATGCGAGGAAGAACTAAGTCTCTGGTCTCCTGAGAGAAAGGAACTTTTGCTTGAGACAGCCAAGCCCAGTGAAATGGATCTAATGCACAAAACCAGAACATTTTGTGATTAACAGGCAAAAATAAAATTCTGAATTGTTTACCATCGATACCTGCAGCCTACTGGGACTTTTCAGCAATGCCATTTTTCACAACATTGTTACTCCACATGCCTCTTTTACCTACAGTTACAAATGCAGCTGTTCAGCAACTTAGCCTTTTTTGCAAACTGCGAAAATGCATTTTAACTAATATTTAGTTGAAGCAATAAATAAAAAAGGTACATGAATTAAACACTGTAAGCAACTGTAAAGGCCTTCTCCTAGTCTAGTAATACAGTTTCCTTTGAAGTCAAATAATGGCTGCAATTAAACAAATATTTCAGATGTTTGACTCATACTTAAGAATTAACAAAAAAGTAGCTGCTGTTTTAATACTTTTTTTTTTTAATTAAAATGCCTTTTTCTAAGTATGCCAAGAAAAATATTCTTACCTTATCGCATAGTTGCTATTAAACAGCTTTTTCTGAAGCTATTATAAGAGCAATTAATTATTACCAGATGTTAAACAAGACACCAAACAATATGAGTTTCAGGAACTGAGGGAAATCACTAGCAGCAGGACACCCACTGAACTTCCTGACACTGCTCACAGCCCTTTGAGTTCAACAGACCAGGCAGTTTTCCACCCACCTCACAGTCTGTCTGTCCATCCAGTTTGTAGCTCACGTTGGCTGTAAGAGTGCTGTGAGAGACCACAGAGATGGCCTTGCAATAGTCAAGGAAACTAAGTCTTCACTGCCCTCGCCTCATCCACTGAACCAGTCCTCTTATCATGAAAAACTGTCTAGTCAGTAGAGCACTGTTTGTCCTTGGTAAATCCAGGCTGGCTTCCCCATCACCTGCCTGTTCTTCACACACTTGACTATGGCTTCCAGGAGGATTCATTCCACAGTCTTCACAGGGACTGAGGTTAGGCCTGCAACCCTGTCTGGGTACTCTACATCTTGACCTTCTTGAAGGTGGATGTGATACTTACTTACCTTATTCTAGTTCGTAAGCAACCACCCACATTACTAGCGTCTTTCAAGACTGAGGAGCCTCATAACAGTATCAGACGGCTTCCATCATGTTCCAAATGCATCCCCATCTACTATGAACTTTTTAACGTCCATTTTGCTTAAGTGCTCCTTTTCTTCTGCTTTGGGTAATGATTTATTCCTAGAGGGTCTGCTTATGAGCTCTGAGACATAGAAGCCCAAGAACAAATCTAGCAGGTGAAAACTGAGGCAAAGTCAGCATTGATTAACTTGTTCTTTCTTAGGCCTTTTGCCTTTAGGTCCTTGCTGCAATTCTCTTCAGTCCCACTCTCATCTGTAATTTCCTTAAGCCTTTCTGGTTGCCCTTCATGTCCTTTGCTAGCTTGACTCCAGCTGAGCTTTCATTTGCCAGACTCCATTCTTACACTTTTGGACAATGTCCTTGTATTTTCAGAGGAGTCTCCGCATCCTGATTTTTATGTACTTAATTTTTGTGTCCCAGTTCAGTCACAAATTCCCTGTTCATCCATGCTGGACCAACTTCCTTACTTTTGGAAAGGGCATTCTCTGGCTTTGAGGAGGTTAGTCTTGAAAGCTTTAGTCACCAAGAAAATATGCTCTATCCCTCAAGAGCCTGCAATTTTAAACATTATGCTACAGTGGATATCATGGTTGATGGCTTGACTCTGATCTTTAAGGTAATTCTGTGATTCTGTGCAAGTACCTTTACAGAACTGTCACACACTTTTCCAACTGCAAAATAATTCTGAAGGATCATTCAAGAATCTTCCCAAAAAGGAAGATGATTGAAGAATGCAATACTTACATGCCCTCCACTCATCAGGATGCTTAAAAGGAAACGCTAAACCATTGTCAATCGCAGCAATTTTAATAGTAGATTCTTCAGCTATAGTCCACTGGCCATCCTAAGGAAGGAATATTTAAAAAATAAGTGATACCTATATGCTTACAAAGTTAGGGAAACATTAAAAATACTAAATATACTTTTTAGCTTCACTACTTAAATTCATTTTAAGCAATATGAACAAGTATCCAAATAAACTCCAGAACGTACAATACTTAACCTACCACCATTAAAAAGGGCCCCTTCCCACAAATACAAGATGAATAGAGCACAAATAGCTGAAAAAAAGTGCTTGACCAAGAGTAGGCAGTTTTATTATTATTATAGCCCAAGCTAGTAAAGAAAAAAATATAGAACAATAAAAATAACTTCTAGCACTTTTCTATCCTGACTAGTCTAACCCAAATATCCTTTTAATTCATTTTGTCTAGAATAATTTGTAACTGTCATATTTCTTGAGACCATGCACCAGGATTAAAGCCCTGCACTTAATCCCCAGAAAGACCAAGTAATAAAACTACACAATTTAAAGACCCTGAGTTTCAGAGTACAATTTTCTTACCTTATCTGACAGATCAAGTCCTTCATCTTGTTTTTCATACTTGATTAACCAGTTATCATTACCTCTGTCTTTAAACAGGAAAACGCATGTCACAACATATAATTTATAAAGAAATAATTAAATGTTATATACAACAACCAATATTATAAATTGAGAACTTGTTCTTATATTCTTTCATTGCTTAAAAATATTAAGTAACAGTCAAAACCACGTTGTTTGGATTTTGTCATATTGCAATATTTAATATCTGAATTCCAAGTACATTTTTTAAAGTTTAAAATGCAACATTCTGGCCTTCAGTTGTGAGAAATGCATCTGAAATGCATTAGAAGCCTTTATCAACTTTCAGCCAGCATTGCTTACCACTTCTACCTCACAGAAGTAGACAAATACCTGTATTTCTGATGACATAATCTAAGATAACCAATCTTTCAAACTGAGACTGAAATTCTTTCCTTGTGTTCTCAGGTAAAGGATCAGTTTCAAACTTCCTGAGCCAGTAGTCAGCTTCCTTATAACCTTCAACAAACAGCTGGAAGGAACCAACCTGAAACATTAAGAAAATGTAATTTCAAAATGCACTTGGGTAGGTGACACAATGTTAACATCAGCAGAAAAACTGATTCTACACTTTCAAAGCTCAGAACATGGGAATTCTAAACACTAAATTATACTGAAGTGTGACTCAAATCATGAGGGTTTTTTCTAGTTTTTTTTATTATTATTTTTTGAGTTTTTGCTTTGTAAAAAAAACCAAAAACTTGTTTAAGCACTGAGTGTACCAGGAATAAAATACAGCCAGACAGCTCAACATAAATGAACACCCAGTATTACCAGCAATATTTGAGACAAATAACATTTTTCATTGAAAACACTTCGTCCAATAGCTCATAGGAGACTCCTGAAAAAATTACAAGGACAAAATCTTCCTCTCTGAAAATCTTATATGCTTCATTGATGAGAACAGCAGCATTAACTATTTTCTCCCAAGACAGACACTTTTTGCATGAAAATGGCTGAAATAACTTTCACAAGGGAGTTCAAGGAAGAAAACTAGAGATGACATCGGCTCCATATGTTTGGGCAACAGGAAAAGTGCCCAAGGTTACAATTCAGAAGAGGACATATTCAAGAAGTAAAATGCAGATAGATGCACACACGCAGAGACATGGATAAACACACACCATGTGGAATAACCATACTGATATGAGCTTGCATTAATGTCCTGGTTTGAGCCAGGATCGAACTAATTTTCTTTCTAGTAATTTTACTTTTCAGCCAAAGGTGACAAATTGCTGAGAACTGACACAAGTGGATTACCCAAGCTGTACATGAGCTGTGCTTTAAAAGTTTAGGAATAGAACACTGTGGTGATATCCTGGGGATACAATAAGGCTCATTAGGCAAGAAAGATGCGAAGTTTTAATCAGTGGAGAACTGCCCATAAGATTAAAGGAAGGTAGGGTGAACACAATAATATGACAGCTACGAGAGTAGCAAATAGAAAGAGAAAAAAAATAAAGATTTAGGAAAAATGAAACAACTAGATAAATTGCACGGAAGAAAAAAAACAGACAATATAAAAACATCACACTGAAGTGAAATGTACTAAAGAGTCAAGAAAAAAGTGAGAGATGAACAATACTTTAACATGTTACTCCTCCAGCAGAAAGCTAGACTGCATATTGATACCAAAAGTGGCAAGATATTAAAGCAGTTTCAATGAAGGAACCATGTAACAGATTGGACAGATCTTTACTCGAAACAGGCTTATTTATCAAACTTCAGTCACTCACAGCTGTTTTTCAACAAGCAACAAAGTTTTTCTTCTATTGTTGAAGTTATTGATACTTTTTTTTTTTAATTCGAAGTTTTGTGTAAGAGTCTGGAAAAGCACAAGAATACTTTTTATCTTACCTTAGGAGGTAGTCCAATTCGATTAAATTTTTTAGCAACTTTTGGCACTTTCTCTAAAGCATATCTTTTTCCTCTGGACTTTGCACGATCTATTGCACTGTAATTAAAGGTCTCACTGACAAGCCAGACAACCTTAAAATACAAAAGTAAAAACTCAGCTCAGAATTCCTTATTATTTCAATTAGAAATTTACAGCAAATTTAATGCTTAGTTGTCAAAAAGGCAAAAAGGAAACAACAAGCATTTCCAACAAATGTTAAATTAAAAGGTTTATATTTGCTATTTTACGTATCTCAAACAAAAGCAGTAAAAAACTTACAAGTGGGAATTTTTATATGCTACTCTTTGCAGTTCTGACACATCTTACCAAAACAAAAGGCACAGAAGTGTCAGAAAATGCTAGAAACTGAAGTTGTTCCAAGGAATAAATTCAATTCAGATGGCAAACGTATCCTTCAGAGCAAAAATCACAGTTGCTACTTCTACAACAAATGACTGTGCCTTCAGACTTGCCATAGTTTATAAATTACTTAGGAATAATGCATAATATACAAGGAGGTCTCCACGACTACAGTACAGAGACTTGACAGATCTGTCTTTTTTGTGTGTGTGTTGTTTTTTTGTTTTGTTTTGTTTTTTGGTTTTAACAGTTTACAAATTTTAACTTTTACCTTAGTTTTAGGTACAACTCCTAGTCCCAGCTTGTCATCCACAAGATAGGCACCAGCTTCAGAGAGGTATCCCTGATTTGGAACGAGGCAGCCTCTGCCAAAGCAGCAAGGACAACAAACTTTGTGAAAATATTTGGTCCATTTCGGATTTAGGTGTCCATAAGGCTCTTCAGATTTTGGTTTGAACACTCCGATAGTTTTCTAGGATAAATAATATAAAATTCAAGTATGAGTGCTTTGAGTTGCAAAGCTAAAATTATTTTGAAAATTAGTTACTTGTAAGTATTGTTACATACTACACATGACTTTTGACAGTTGCTCTTTTAAGATGATTAAATAAAAAAAACTAATAAAACAATATTTCAAATAAATGTCCTCAAATGCTTGTCTAGAAGTAGCACAAACTCAAAATAAGGTCTTCATAAGACAAAATCAAAACCAGCTAACATTTACTAGCTATTTTTAAAATTACAGCCTACTGCATTTTAGAACATACATTTTTTTATATTCAAAAAGTTTCTCAAAAAGGAGGCTTTAAAAGCAATTTTTAAAGTAATTTTCAGCCCACCAAATAACTCATTAACAAGGTATTTCAGACAGAGACACAATGGTTCCAAGAAAGTGACAAATATACAGAATACTAATAATAATGTTAACTTTTACCTTTACTATCTATTTTAATTATTGATTTAAGTTAGAATGGATCAAAATGTTCAGCACTGCAATTCCAAAGAGTGGTGTCATTTACTACCGCTGTAGATTCCTCAATTCAAAGCTGACAATGGTTCACACTGTCAGCCTCCATTTACATTGGAGATGTAGTAAAGCTTAAAATTACTGAGTACTATATCCACTTTTGGACACTATGCTTCAAGTAATTTGTTAAACTGGAGGAAGCTGAAGTAACTATGGGAATAAGCACAAAAAAAGTGAATAATGACCATATGAACAGGGATTGTTGAGCCTAACAGAAAAAGGAGCACAATGAACTATGAAATAGATTCCTTTACAGAAAAAAGGAACAACACATTTAGTGTTAACAAGACGATAAATAATGGGCTTAAATCCCAGCAGATAAGTTGCAAAGAATCAAGAGCAGCTCTATACTGGAACTGGCTGCCAGGCTGTGGAGTCTCCAAAACAGGATGCTGCTAACAGCAGGTTATCATCAGGATTCAGGTTAATACACTCCTACCCATGACACAGGCAATAAATAGATCATTACACAAGGTGCCTCATACATGTAATTCTGTATTTGTTAAACTCAAACCACAAAATTATTACCACACTAAAATATATAACCTTCCAATTGTCTTTAATAAACTTTAGCCTAGTGCATAAAGTCCATGTAATGACTCTTCTATAGCTCAAGGGAATGTTGTTCAAATGCTATACCTTCATTCCTTCTCACAGGACCATGGTAAGGAAATCAAACTATTATCTAAGGAACAGTTGGGAACAGCTGTTCAATAAGCATTTTCACATATTAGTACTTTCTTGAATCTTTATTAAAAAAAAAGCTAATATCTCAGTAAGATAAACACTGCCTGTTGCGGCACAAACACTCGTAAGTGATTTACACTTAGGATAGACTAGAGACAAAAGTCATGAGTAAGTTTGTTTGCATTACTGGCCTGGACCATATTGTGCTGTAGTATCAAATCTCAACATGGTTTTCAAGGTTTCATTGAAGTTAAAACCTTGCTAAATTTAGAAGAGCCACTGATATTGAGGACCAGGAAGTTCAGTATGTAGACATCTTACCAAGACCAGTCTTCATTCTGCAAGTCAAGATTAATTTCTAGACTGACTCCATTGGCATTACCAATTAGCCAACAGCTAAACTGCCAAAAACATGTAGAACAGTTTGTAACAGACGCAATGTCTTTTACTTTATTAGTTACACAATGAAAAACAAATGCAGGAATATTAAACATTTCAGCAATAGTGCTGCTTAAGTATTGAACTTCTTCATGTCAGTAAAAAACTATGCCAAGAAATAAAAAAAGTTAATAATTTTAATTAGACAACTTTAGTTTTATCTTTTTGATAGATCCAAATCAGCAAATAAGATTAATTAATGGTGTCCTGGTTTCACTTGGATAAAACTGTAGAATCAGTTTTCTGTTCAGAGAAGCTGCAATTTTTGAGACGACTGCAGCACCTCATTCAGTGGGAACAAAGTTGATAAGACACTTGGTTTTATTTCATGGCCAGCCATGGTATGAGTTTCCATAACAATCCAGGTCTCTAGCAGTTTTGAGCTAGCTGGCTGCTAGGGCTTGGAGGGCAGCTGACCCAAGGTGGCCAAGAGAAGTATTCCATGCCATAGACATCACACTCACTAGAGATTGGAAAGTTTGCTGGGGACAGGGCTCTTCAACGGCCACCATGCCTGGAGGATCTTGTCCATCATTCTGCCCCCAAGGCCTGCTCTCTGTTTGCTGTGACCATCTCACTCCTGCTGGAGCTGTGGTGCTCACAGGGCTCGACACCCAGCATTCACTGCTGGGAGTGTACGGCTTGCAGTCACTGCTTGGGCTGAGTATAACTTTATGTCATAATTAGTATTCTGATTAATAATAGTTTTTTGTTATTTTTTTATTAAATCTGTTTTCATTTTAAACTGAAAATAGGTTATATCACATATACATTTATATTAGTATGGGTAAACACTTCAGATGACCTATAAGAAGGCTCAGTATGCTTTTAATAAGCTCTTTCCCAGCGTAAGGAAGAGCAGATTACTCAAGAAGAATAGGAGAAAGCAAGTCACAAAACTGGTCTGAACAACATAATGCAATACTCCATCAAACAGGATGTGAATCCATTCTACAAATGGGAGTTTCACTTTTGACAAAATGAAGTTTTATCAGAACTTTAATATGAATTACAAATATAGATAAGCTCTAACTGTAGTGCAAAGAATGAAAGCAAAACTGAAAGTCAGCTAGGAACTCTACCATTATTCTCACAGTCCCATGTTGGCAAATATTGTCATTTTGCAAGAAACTTTTTCTGGCCTACATTAAAAAAAAAGGTGTTTTTTCTAGTCTTAATTTCTCCTAAATACTTAAATTCAAATCAATGACCTGCATGAAGGGGAAGGGCAAGTCACTACTAGAAGCTTAAATAGTAACAAAAACAGCACTTCACTGTAAAGCGGAGCTAAAACCAATATGAAAATCACCATGTAAGAAACATGGAAATAAGGTGATCCATCTGAAATACTGCAGATACAAAAATTATGTGCAAGTACTCTCTCATTAGCCCCAGGACACAGTGAATCTCTCAGGCATTTGCAATTGTCAATAAAAAACACTGCAAAATCAGTCCAGAGATTTGCACATACAGAAATCCAGAATAAGCATGATTTTTTTTTTCCTAGTCATTTCTCTACTAACTTTCTAAGAATAAAAGATCTCAACTGCACAACATCAAGAAAAACATTTAACCAGTTTTAAAGCCTTTACTCTTTAGATACTCTTTAGATACTCCATGCATTGCACTTATCCAAAAGTATTGATTTAAACGAGTATTTGGTTACTTACTCAGATTTGTTTCAATTGCATATTAAATAAGATACAATCCCAATCTAAAATCTCTTCTTAAAAACAGTACAAAGTTTAAATATGTATATGTAAGAATATAACCTGAAAAACAACTAAGAATTAAACTGCTGAAGTAGGGAAGTGACCTGAATTTTAAGAAGTCTGCTGAAACTTTGAACAGGTTTTCACATTAACAGCATTGTACCTGACAGCAAGAATCCTGGAAGGCAATTAAAGAAAGACTTTTTTATTTTCCTCCCAGTTTCACAAAGAGGGAGGCCCTCCTTCCCAGCCTACTTCAGCTCTCCTCCACCAGAATGAAGGGGGTCATTACAACAAATATTCCTGGAACATCAAGAGTATGAACAGCGACGTGAAGGTCTTTGATTTTAAGTGGGTAGTTCTGCCACTTTCCATCTCAGAAATAAATATAGTATAGGATCACAAATCAATTCATACATTTATTTCTATCAAGTCAGGTAACTACTCTAAAAATCCCTCATTCAATAAAGAGTAAAAAATTATCACCAAAAAAGTGGCATTAAACAAAACAAACACCTATGAAAATTACGTGGCAAACTAGCACTATATTCAGTAATCACCAGTATGAATAAAAGCTAAACAAACAAACAAAAAAAACTTTCTAAAGACATGGGAAATTACAGTTTTGGGAATGCAGGGAAGAACATGGATATGTTCTGAAAACATAGGCACTTAAAATATTACAACTTCCATGTCTACCACAGCTGGGATCTTCAGGATTAATTAACACCAAGACTGCTGATTGAACTTAAAAAAAAATCAGATATGACAAATCAACTAAGGCATGGGTATTGGGAGTAAGGCCAGTAAGCAGATGAAAAAAACAATGTGAAAGTCCATCTGAAACATCATTTTATCTTACTAATTAATGCTAACCAAATGTTAATTTTCAAGCAAGATATTCACATAACTGTTACTTCTCTGTCTCAAAGTAACCTTAGGACATCTCTTGATGATCACTGTTCAAGCTAGCATTTACCACTAAGGGAGAGGAAACCAAATCTTCAAGTTAAGATTCAGCAGACAAACACAAGTAACAAGGTAGTTTTGTTTATATCATTCTTCTTGCCTGCCTACCAATCATATAAGAGCAAGAACACAATCCAAATACAAGACTATATAAAAAAAGATAAAAATATAGAAGGCTTGGCTAAAGAAACCTAAACAGTATCCAAAACAGAAGCTCAGGTGTGTCAAAAATCAGTTAAGACACACAAGGAACAAAATGTTAGATTCTGCACAATTCTGAATTGTTTTCAGACATTAAAGAGGCCTCTTTATTTTCTCCGTATTTCTTTGGTGCGGATCATTCAAAACATGGTAAAATTGACACAGAGAAAAAATAGCTAGTTTGGCTTAGCTGATGCTGCAGGACTTAACTAGGAATCTAAATATTGCTTACATCAATTTTTCCAACACAGGTTCTGGCACACAGTAAGTTATCAGACAACTTCTTTAAATAAACTTATATTTAAATAGAATTTTTCAACTTCCATTTTAAACTCATTGCTGATAGTGGCTCTGACTTCACAGTAACATGCTCACCCCTTTGGGATCCTTGGCGAAGTAACTCCCACTGGATCCTTGAGAGATTCTTTCTGGAAAAACTCCACACTCTATAGCTTGCTCTGCTCTCAGAATAATTTCTGCAAATTCTGGATCATCTAAAAATACATTCATATCAGCAGTATGTCCTGAAAAATAAGAAAACAAGCAATCTTAAGTGTAATTTGTACTAGGAATTAACAACATAAGTAAACACACTGAAAAGCTAGCAGCCTTTCTTGTTAATGTTGTTCAATAACAGGCTGAAAAACCTGGTCCATTAGATCAGTGCAAGCTTTCCCACTGATTTACACACACCTTATCAACCTTTTGTTCAAAGTAAATCAGCTGAATCTGTAACTACAAATTAGAGACTAGCAGGGCAAAGTGCTTCTACTTTTAAAGATTTTTTTTTAATTATTTATATAAGGAAGCTTATTAGAAAAAAAAATCTCTTCAAAACCCTATCTGTAAAAAAAAAAAAATACTGAAGATTTTACATATAATTTTTTTATTAAGATTTTTGTGTCC